GAGAACCAGGGACAAAGCAATGGTGGGAAGTTATGGACTCTTCTGCAGAATTGAGATGATTCCAGCTCCACTAAACTATAGGAGTTTTGGTTAATTTTGAGGCTCAGTTTTAGTTTGAAAAGGGGGCAGTAGTTGTTAGCTGTTGTGGGGGCTAGGTGGAGTAGCAAGCACAGTAGCTCTCTCACAGGGAAGAGCTCTGTCATGACTGTCATTCTGCTGACACAACTGCATTCCCAAGAGTTCACAACGGCGAACACCTGAAACATAGACCTGTGGCTTTGCTGTGTCATTCATTTTCTTAGTGACACTCAGAGTGATAATATAGGGAATCGAGAAGTTTCTGCACCCGACGAGCCGCTCCACCAATGCAGTAGTCCAGATCAGACCAAATCAAACCCAATTAGGGAAAGCCCACTTTTAATGGATACCAATGTTTCCGGGTGGCCTTCCAGCCCCCCAGAGAGGAGTCCTTCAGGTGAAGGGTTTCCATTCAAGAATAAATGAACGGGGCCGGAGTTATTTATAGTAAGAAACTGTATTAAAGCATCCTGCTGAGAAAAACTGGGGAATATTGAGCAGAATTATGTGTGTCCAACTTGTTTGTTTGTTTATGTTTGTTTCTTTTTGTTTTTTGTTTTGTTTCTGAGACAGGGTCTTAGTATGTAGCTCCCACTGTCTTGAAATTTACTATGTAGACCAGGCTGGCCTCAGAACTCAGAGATGTGCCTACCTCTGCCTCCAAAGTTCTAGGATTAAAGCTGGAAGCCAACTTGTGGCGCATAAACTATATGCATCCTGCTTCTGCGATAGCTAAGAATGTGGCCCAACACATTTGTAGATAACCATATCATGTCACAAAGATAAACATTTAGACACTGCTAGAACTAACTGAACATGTATTTGGCTATGAATCAAGAGAAATGAATTCATTTAGAACTGGTCTAGCCTTAAAGTAATTTTACTTTGATCATGGGCAGATTCTAAGTATGATGTGGGGTGTGTGTGTGTGTGTGTGTGTGTATTTGTCTTGTTCTGGGCACTGAACTGTGTTACCTTGTGTTTTACCACTGAGTTAGTTACATCTATAGTCAAAGATTAGCCCCCTTATTCTGTAAAATTTTTTGCTGTTAATGAAGTTAATATCTGCTCTGTCTACTTCACTTTTGTGATTATCAAAGGTGGCCCAATCTGCTGTTTTCAGATTAAGTCACACATAACCAAATGAAAGCTTTATATTCTTGAGTTTACATGATGAATACTTTAATAATGCCTATCGCTTTTTTCTTCCACTTAAGCCTTTCTCGCCAAAAAGTATTTCTGTTTTCTTTCCTATCCATAGGAAACCTTAGACTTACCACTACCTATTGCTCCCTTGAGGCCTCTAATAGTAGCTCTTTGTATTAGATTCATTTGCCAATTGTTTATGTGTGGCAGAAGTGCAGAGGCAGAGAGGTTCAACTCAAGGCATCCAGGAAACAGAGGACAGAGAGGGGCCCAGACAAGAGATGTGAATGCATAGAATGATTGGAATGACAGTGAATAGTCTGTCTTTCTGGAAAGGAAGTTTGCATCAAAGTCTATTTGTGAGTGAGCCTCGGGTTGGCTGTGAAGTCCAGACTGGTCTATAAGGCCCTCACTTCTGTACTTCTGTTCCAGCTTCCTGAGAGCTGGGACGTTCACCATCGCCCCAGGCTTTGTGTTAAGGGTTGTTTTGTTCTGTTTGAAAGTGGGTGTGCCTGTATATTCCAAACTGTCCTGGAATTCACTTTGGAGACCAGGCTGACCTTGAACGCTTGTCTCTGCCTCCCACAGCCGGGATTAAAGGAATGTACCACTACACCTGGCTCTGTATTTTTATTTTGTTTGCTTGTTTGTTTTTGAGGCAGGGTTTCTTTGTGTAGCTCTGGCTGTCCTGGAACTTATGCTATAGACCATGGTGGTCTTGAACTCACAGAGATCCACTTGCTTCTGGCTCCCAGAGTGCTGGTATTAAATGTGTGCATCATAAATACTATAGCCTAAGTGCCTTAGTTTCCTCATTAAGGTAAGTATAGGAAGACTACAAAAAGATACATGATTATCAGGATGGCTTGCCACTGAGAATTCAGCAATAATCTAAGTGTAAGAGATGGTTTAAGCATTATTTATACACTCTGCAGAGCATTAAAAATGATATGAACATTTATCAGTGTTTGTATTATATTCATAACAGAGTAGTAACAACCTAAATATTATTTATTGTTTTTCTCAAAACAGCATGTACTTATATATCAAAGTATAAATATGTTTGTATGTATAGATACATATATATGTATATATGTCTTCCAAAAAGTAATAAATATTGCTTGTCTCGTGAAGTTCTTATGAGATACCCATTAAGGCCATATGTTTTTAATTTTATAACTATGAAACAACTATTGGTACGCAATAGCAATTGTGCTACATTGTGCTCTGTACTAGAATAGAGAAGATTCATCTTAAATGTACCGATTTTGTAAATTCTTAGTGGTTAGCTGCTTTTGTTCTGGCCTCGGTCAGAGGATGTTTCCTTCCCTGTTGGTCACCTGTCCTGCAAATGCGCTACTCACACGGCTTAGCAAACACATCTTACGTAGGCGTGTGCTCTTCGTGGTAGTGGTACACTAGCTTTCGTCTGTAGCTTAGTTACTTTTGACAGAGATAGAGCATGTGCTTTGATATAAATTTTATTCTGTTCTATTATGTTTCGTGTTTGCAGGGCTGAGGAGCAAACCCAAGACTGAGCATGTTAAGTGAGGACTCCTGGTTATTTTTATAGTTCGGCAGGTAATTTTGAAGCTATTTTCCACTAAACCTTATATACATACATGTATTGTATGTGTTATATTTGTGTGTGTACATGTATTGTTTTATCTTTTGCTTCAACAGATTTTTTTTTTCAACTAGTTAAAAATATGGAGCCTGAAACTGAGGGGCCGCCACCAACAATGCAAGTAACACCTCTTCAGCAAATGATTGCCTCTTGTACTGGAGCTATATTGACATCACTAATGGGTAAAATTATGTTCCCAGTAGAGATTATGTAACTTTGAATATTCCATTTGAGTTTATTATTTGTGAAGTAATGATATTTTTGAGGGGTGTGTGTTTGTATACATATTTGTTGTTTGTGTATGAGTGCATGTGGCATCCAGAAGTCAAAGTCAGGGTCTTCTATTGCTCTTCCCCATATTCGTGTGTGTGCCTGTGTGTGTGTGTGTGTGTGTACATATGCATGCATGTATATGTGTGTGCAGTTATGTGTGGAGGCCAGTTCGAGACAGCCTCTCACTGAAGCTAAAGGTTAATGATTAATTAGCAAACCCCAAGTCTTTGCTAGGATTACAGTCCAGTGCCACTGGGCCGAATGTTTAACATAGATGCAGGGGATTCGAACTCTAGTCCATGTGTTCGTGTGGCAGATGCTTTACTAAGTCCCCAGGCTAACGATAGTGTACGGTATAGGATGCCAGTATTTCTTCATCAGCATGAAGATGTGAAAACAGAAAATGAAGAGAATTGAATCTCTGTCCTTGCTTTTTCACTCATGGGTTGCCGCTACACTTGGGAATGATATCTATTTTCTGAGGTTTATCTTTTCATTGAAAATTAGGAGTCTCAGCTGGGTAAGCTGCCACATGCCTTTAATACCAGGTCTTCGGAAGCAAAGGCCTGTGGATCTTTGTAGGACAGTCTGGTATACATAGGCGTTCCAGGACAATGATAGAAAGACTCCCCCCCCCCCAAAAAAAAAAACAGGGAGGAAGAAAATTGGTTTTAAAATAAGTTATTGGAGGTCTCTATCAGCATTATTAAACTTTTACAGTTCCTTTAGGTCTTTCAAAATAGAAAAGGAATAAAATATTTGCATATAGAATAATATAATTTTGGGCCACTTAGGAGTTTCTTAAATTTCTAAGGATTACTTTTTTATGTTTCATATAGTACATTTCTTACAGACAAAGCCAAATAACATAGATGATACCGTAGCATTTGAATGATTTTAAGTTGACTATTTAATTAAGATAGGAAGTGATTAGAACTTGTAAAGCAATTGCTTTATGGTGTATCTTAGGATTCAAGTTCATTCTGACCTTACAAATTATCTAATGTGGCTTTCTTGTTCTCTGATGAAGAATAGTTTTCTTGAAACCACAGTTTGACATTTTTTCTTATTTTCATGAACTAGAACATACAAATAAAAATAAGATGCAAATTTTCTTTGTTGTTCCCAAATGGATGACATAACCTAATGCTGAAGATGATTTCTGGCTAGCCTATCCCAAATTTCATTTCCTACAGGCTTTATTTGATACAGATAAGTTGATCAGATTGGGAAGACGCGCACCGTCCAGTTTTTAGTCACCTGTAATAGGAAGCTGTTCTCAAGTCTTTAGACTTAGAAGTTTCAGTCATTGCTTGAATGTTTTCTAACATTGTATTGCTTTAGTCGTAATACTCCTGGAGCTGGAGCTGCAGATAGACATGCCTTGTGCTTGAGACGTGGTTCGCCGTCTGTCTTCGCTAGCTGAGGACACACATGCAGAGAGCCACATGTAGGGGCAGCAGAACACCTCCATGGTGGAACACACATTCGGTGCTGTTCTTAGATAAACAGCTTACCCATCACATAGAAACTAGGAAGAGTACGAATTGATGGGTGGTTTTTTAAATGACCTTGCACCTCTTAGAGATTTAGAGATATCATATCTTAATTAAAACTTTTATATTCATAGTGACACCCCTGGATGTTGTTAAAATTCGACTCCAAGCCCAGAACAACCCATTCCCCAAAGGTATGTGTATTGGATACCGTGACAGTATTGTTAGAGTTTTAAACTGTGACTGTACTCATTTTCATTTCCATAATATTTCTGTTAATTTATTAGAATTGATGTTATCTAGAACCATTTTTTTCACCTTTTAATTGTACCTAATGAGAGGCAGAAAAAAATGTGTATGGTAGCTATGCTTCTTTATTTGTTGTATATAAATACATCTATCCATCTGTATCTTAACATTTTTATGGCTACCTTATTGAAGTAGAGAATGACTGTATATGTGAGTATATGCTATTCAGGTAAGAATAGTCCTTTTCTGTCTCTCTTTAGAAAAGAACAGGTTTCTAAGAGATAACAACAAAACATAATAAAATATAGTAAGATAAAACAAAACTATCACATCAAAGTGATTTCTTTCAAGTGTTTTAAAGAAGTTATTGGTTTTCTTGATTTCAACCCTGAGTTTGATTATTTCTTGCCATCTATTCCTTTTGGGTGTCATTTTTTTTTTATTCTAGAGCTTTCAGGAGTGCTGTTAGCAGTAGGAGGTCTCTCCTTTCTTCTTTTTTAGTGTAGGCATTTAGTGCTGCAGGTTTTCTTGCAGACAATGAGTGGGTGTGCCTTGTACTCATCGTCACTCACTTCTGGAAAGATCCAGTTTGCTTCGTTTCCACGAGTTTATAGACTTTCTTCTGTTTCTGTTGTTGATACCCAGTTTTAATCTGTGGTGGTCAGATAGGATGGAGGGTTTCAGTTTTTTTATATCTGTTAGGATTTGCGTTGTGTCCACGTATGTGGTCAATTTTGGAGAAAATCCTATGAGGTGCAGAGAAGAAGGTATTTTCTTTTGTGTTTGGGTGAAATGTTCTGTAATATCTGTTAGGTCCACATTTCACGGTTTGGTTTCTGTCTGGATGACCTGTCCATTGGTGAGAGTAGGGTGTTGATGTCTCCCACTGTCAGTGGGTGAGGGTCAGTTGTGATTTTAGCTGGAGTAGTGTTTCTTTTATGAACTTGGATACCCTTGTGTTTGAGGCATAGATGTTAAGAATTGAATGTAGTGTCCTTCCCTATCTCTTCTGATTAGTTTTGGTTTGACGTCTATTTTGTCATATATTAAAATGGCTACCAGCTTGCTTCTTAGGTGCATCTCCTTGGAATATCTTTTTTCATTCTTTTACCCTGAGCTGATGTCCATCCTTGATGTTAAAGTGTGTTTCTTGTATACAACAGAAGGATAGGTCTTGAGTGTGTGTGTTTCCCTCTGGGATTATTTATTCCTTGTGTTTTTTTGGGGGGGGGTGTTTTACCACTTTAGTTGGTTTGTTCTGTCTAACACCTTCTATAGGGCTCGGTTTTATCATGGAGTGTCTTATTTCTCCATGGTGATCGAAAGTTTTACAGTCTGGGCTCTCTTAGAGTCTGTAAAACATTTATCTGTCTAGGCCCTCTGACTTTCAGCGTCTCTATTGAGAAATGTTATTTTAATAGGTCTGCTTTATATGTTACTTGTCACTTGCAGCTTTTAATAATTTTTTTTTGTTCTATATGTTTAGTATTCCAGAGAAAACCTGATAGAGTTGGGTCGAATAGCAGGATGAGTGGGGGGAAGGTTGGAGGAGAAGGGGACAGAGAGGAGGGGAGGCTGCAGAAGGTGTCTGCTGTAGAGATGAGGGTGAGACTGGGGGCTGGATTTGGAGGAGAGAAGGGGGCGAGGAAGGTCTGCAGTTAGCATACCTGTTTCTCTCTGTCGTTTTATAATGCAGTGTTGTTCATGACTTTATGTGGAATTGGATAAACGTAGTTCTGTATTTTATCAGATGGACAGGAACACCAGTCTATAATCAATCTTTGAAAACTTTGTAAAGGTAGTAAATCAAACACAAATAGCAGGAAGTTGTCTGAGCTATGATAAGTTGCCTTGTTTGAATCCTCCCTATTCTGAGATTGTAGCTCAGTGGGTGCATTGCTTTCCTAGCGTGTGTGAAGCCCTGGTTTCAGCATCAATACGGAAGAGAAAATAATAATAATAATAATTTTAAAAGTATGCTAAAGCTTTCCCATTGAGTATGTAGGAATATGGTGAGATGAGCAGTCATATTGCAGATAAGGGCAAGAGAATAGTAAAAAGAGATCAAAAGATTATGTGTACACATTAAAGAAAGTTGTGGACGCAGAAAGGAATGCTTAGTCCTATACATGTGACACAATTCTGTCGCACTGAACAGAGAAGACAATTCTGTCAGCAGTGTGAGGCCATCGGGACCGTTGTGGTAAGTTAGGTAGAGCTGACAGCTGTATAGACGGTGGTACAAATAACAGGATAAGCCCTGCATGCTTCTGTTTGTGAGGTTTGTGCTGTTTATTCTGACAACAGATTTCCCTCGTGTGCACGAGCTGACATGGAAACATGCTCCTCCTCTTTCTATACTTTTCTAGTCTCGTTATACTTGCAGCTGATCTGTAAAAATAATGTCATTGTGTGAAATAATCACTGGTTGTTGGACTTTTCTTTGGTAGGAAAGTGTTTTCTGTACAGTAACGGACTCATGGATCACATGTGTGTCTGTGAAGATGGGAGCAAGAAAGCATGGTACAAGAAGCCAGGAAATTTCCAGGGAACACTGGTAAAAAGATGCTTTTATTTGGAATCTTTGTATGTTATCTGTTCTTACATTTATTTTTCTGTGTGACTTTCTAATTATAAGGGAATTAAAAGCCCATCATACCAAATCATGGTAAAGAATTTTCTTTACAACTTGCCAACTTTAATATGTTCATCTTGCTTATATAGGAAAAAGAAGTAACTTTTAAAGCAATTTTTAAATTTTTTGAGAATTGTAGATCTCCCATCCTTTTAAAAACAGACAGCGTCATGTATGTTTGTCCCATATCCTTGGTAGTATTACCATCGATGCACTTTGAAAGAGAGCACTGTGAGGACCTTGCTTGTTTCCTTTGAAGAACAAAACCCATTTCCTGGTGCTCTCAGCCGCTTTGTAACCCCTGGCAGCTTCTGATCTGTTCTTAATTTAGAAAACTTGATGATGTGAAAAATGCTATGTGAATGGAACCATGGCACACGCTGCCTGTGGGGGTCGGCTTTCACTTCACACCACCCGGACCCTTGGGGATTCCTCCAGGCTGTGTATGAGCCTGCTGTTTGCTTCTGGTCAATTGCTCGATAGTTTGGTGTAGGTAGGCTACATTTCCATTCAGCGTTGTTTTCAGTTCTCAATATTGGGATGAAAGCTGTTACATTCATTTTGTTTGTCTGGGCCGGTGGTATGGTATGTGAGATAAAGTATTTCTTAATATCTCTAATATTTTACATTTCTATCCCAGCTTAGGGTAAAATGAAATCTTTACTATGTTGGGTTTTGCAGTGAGTTTTGTTTTGTTTTGGTTTTTGAAATAGTGTCTCTCTATATAACCCTGGCTGACTTGGATCTTCATATGTAGACCAAGCTGGCCTCAAACCCGTAGAGATCTGCGTTCCTCTGCCTCCTCAGCGCTGGGATTGAAGTGGTGTTGCCACTATGCCCAGCTTCCAGTGTGGTTTTTAACTTGTAACACTATCATTGAAACATTTTTTTCCTCAATGTAGGTTTTAAATTCACTGTCAATTTTTGCTATTTAATTAATAGACGAATTATATTAGTGCAGTTACAGATGTAAGCGCTTGCCTTTTCCCTTTCTTTTGTTTTTGTTTCTGTTTGTTATTTTTCTTGCCTTCCGTTCTGTTCCATGTTTATCTTTTCCATTTTTAGCAGTCATGTTTTTGTATAGTCTTTCTGAGCTGAAGCAGTCTAATTTTTTTTAACTTCAAGTATGTTGATAAATGATCATTCTGTGTTTTTGTTTTGTTTTTAATGTTAGCTGCTTTGAAATCTTTATCAGGGAACTCAGACATCTTATCCCAATTTCCGTGTTTATTATTGTCTTGTCTTTGTGTATTATAACACCTTTCTAGTTTTTAGAATGGGCACTTTGAGTATTGTTATTAAACTCCGAATTCTAGTTAAACATTTTGTTTAAACTTTTTTTGAGGGGATGGCGTGGTTTCACAGAGGAAGAGCGAGTGTCACGTGGTTAATGCAGCATAGCTAGAAACCTAGGTTCTCCACTCACCTCCAGTTGGAAGCAAGTTTGGGGGAAACTTAACTATGGGCAAAAGTGGGAGTTTTGGCTCTTTCCTCTGGCTCTGGGATGGAGTGACATCAGTACTGTCAGGTGATGGCACAGTCCCTCCCGCGCCACCCTTCCTCTTCTGTCACCACCGCCCCAGTGTAGTAGACAGAGGTATTACCTGGGATGGAAGTTTCATCGCGGTGATGTTGTGACCCCAACCCCTGAAGGGGCTGCAGAGCCTCCTCCAGCCTGAGAGGGAATCCAGACGATGGCCTCCTCGGCTTTTGCTGGCGTGGTTCTGAGCAGTGGTCGGCTGGAGGAGAGCAAATGTGTCTTACAAGTTCTCTTCCTCTTCCCAGCTTGTGAGCAGCCTTTCCTAACACAGCTTTTAAAGCTGCGGAGTTGTGATTGTGTCTGCATCTTTTTAGGCGTACGTAGGGTACTAGTTTATAAATATACCTTGTTTTATTTCCGTGTTTATTAGTTGATGGACATTTAGGTTATTTCCACTATGGGAAGTGAATAATGCAGTTATGAACATGTAAATTTTTGTGTGAACATGTGTTTTAATATCTCCTGCATGTGTATCTAGTTGAATTTTTGGGTTTTGTGTTACTACTTTAACTTTTTGAGAAACTGCCAAACTGTTTTACAAAATGGGTATATCACCTTCCTTTCCCATAAGCAATATATGAGGCTTCAAAAGTATCCAGTCCTCATCGGGACCCCTTTTCTCCTTCTCTGCTTTCTTCCCTTCTCCTCCCCCATTCTTCCCTTCGTCCTTCCTTTCTGGGAGGAGGTTTCAGTCTGCTGCCTTGGCTGCTCTTCCTGACTGAGCCCCACAGATGGTCCCAGGCATGCACTGCTGCACCTACCTCGTCTGTCTAGTTCAGTCGTCTGGTGTGTTTGAAATGGTGTGCAGTTCACTTCCACAGTGGTTAATGATGTCGAACATGTCTTCCATGGTGCTATTTCTATTCCATCTTTTAAAGTTTTTATTATTAAACTGTAAGAGTTTATCTGTCATTTGCTTTAGTTTCTAATTCCTCTCCAAAGTGGTCTTTAATAAAGCAGTTGTGAGCCACCGAATGTGGGTGCTGAGATCTTAACTCAGGTCCTCTGGAAGAGCAAGCTTAACTGCTGAGCCATCTCTCCAGCCCTCAAAAGCTTGTTAGATAGAAACAAAGAAAAATGTAATGGAAACTTTAGTCTGTAAGAATAATTCTACCTTACATATATGAAATTTCTCTTGTTTTTAAAGAATGACCCATAAGTACAAAAAACTTGTATTTTAGAAATGAATGTTTAAAATATTGAAATTACCAGTTACTTATCATCATAAATTTTATCAGTTTTAAAGATGTATTTTGTTTACCTGTTATAATTTTAGGATGCCTTTTTAAAGATTCTTCGAAATGAGGGCATTAAATCCCTGTGGAGTGGCCTCCCTCCTACTCTGTAAGTTGAAATTTTCTACTAAGCATGGTTGTTTGTAATCATGGTTGTTCATCACCATTGAACAAAGTTGCATTTTAATATTAGAACTCTTTCATTCCTGAAGTATTGTTTCATGAGTTTCACAACTGTACATTTGGTGTTCTAGAAGGACTCACAGAACCCAGGGAAGGGTGTATTCATGTGTGTGGTTTGTTACAGTTACAGCACACCAGGTCTAATTGGTAAGGGAAAAGACACGTGATTGGGTGACCATGTGTTGCTTTCTAAAGCCCTCTCTTGCCGTAGCATAGGATGTACTCTGGCAACAAGTACCTGCAGTGTGTCACGTGTTTCTGCCTTGGGAAACTGACCTGAGTTTCAGAATGTACAGTTATTCTTGCATGTTGGCTACATGGAACATTCTCTTTGTAACTGAAAACATGTCATATCCCAGAAAGAAAGTAGTTGCATGCCACAAATCACACCTTTGCATAATCAATCTAGACAAACCGCTGAGGAGCTTTAGACATGCTTAAAGTAGTCTCCTCAGAAATATTCTAGTGGCTAAAGGTTAGCATACAAATAGGCCCTCATGAAGGTACTATAGAAAATTTAAGAATCAAGTCCGCTCTGTTAAGTTTTTGTTGTCCACAGTTTTTATTTTTTATTTTTGTTTGAAAATAAATAATTTGGTGTTTTTTTTTCTTGTTGTGCTAAAACTGTTAGGTATATTGAATATCTATTTATCCGGTTCTAGTTCTCTGATAAGTACAGATTTATGAATGAATACTGTCAGTTTGAAAAGCTGGATGTAAAAACTCTGGCAGGTTTCCCCTGCTTCATTTGCTCCCCACAACTTCCTCTGCTTTTTTATGGAGGGGGTTATTCAGTCTTGAGTCACACTTGAGGCCTATCTTTTAATGCTAAGGTAAGAATGCTAGTGACAGCTCTGTGACCACTGTTCAGTCCTGTTTCTGAATTCTTAGCATGGATCATCTCTATAGAGTATAAGAATTCTAAGCTGTGGTCTGTCACTGTGACTGTTGTGATACTCCATAAACAAAATGATTGCCTGTTGCATTCATCTCTATGACAAACGGTTGCCTGAAATTTTTAATTGAATTTAATTAATAATTCCCTTTGATATTTTCATCTAAAATCTCATCAGAATTCCTTTACAACTAACATACATGATCCTGGCATTGTGATTGTAATCTGCTACTTATAGGCAGCTGTGATATATGATCTGTGGTTTAAAATGTTACAGTAGTTCTTAGACTTTCAAGAAAAATTGGGGTTGGGAAGATGGCTCAAATGGTGATAGATGTTTTCCATGGAAAAGCACTCAGTGTGAGTCCCAGCACGCACTTAAGAATGTCAGGCACCTTGACGCGCATCTGTAGTCCACCACTGGGGAGGCATAGGCAGAATGTCCCTGCTGCTTGCTGGCCAGATCCTTTAGCTTGAGGTGCAGTGCGAATCCCTACCCCCAAAAGAAGTAGAATGGAAAGCAGCTGAGTAAGACACTTAACACTGACCTTGTGTCTTTGTGCATGCACACACTCACGCACACACACCTGTCCAGGTACGTACACATACATACACGCAGATGTGCACACAAGTACCTTTCTTTCAGGGGGTAGTTATAATTTCTAGTTTAACCCATATAAAAACTTATGATGTATGAACTTAACAGTATAGCTGAGGCCTTTTGGTAACTCCTGACTTACTTTGTGTTTTAACAGAGTGATGGCGGTTCCTGCCACAGTTATTTATTTTACCTGCTATGACCAATTAAGTGCTCTGTTGAGAGCTAAGTTAGGGGAGAATGAAACCCGCATCCCAATAGTTGCTGGAATTGTTGCCCGGTGTAAGTAATGAATTTGTTTTCATTTTGATTTCTATTGAGAACATCTATTTAAATTCTGACATTTACAGAGAATTACAGAGAATCTGTTTAATATACAGAATACTGGTATGATTACATTCTAGTTTGTATTAATTATTGATCTCTATACTCCCGAAGTCATGTAGTAAGTAGGTGATTGCCATCAGAATGAGATAAGATTACCTCATATTCTTTGAATCTTAATTATTAAGAATGATGTTAGAATTTATTCTTATTCACCTAAATTTTCAATATATTTGAGCCCATGCACGACTCAGGTCAAAGCCTTAATCACATTTCTTATAAACTTGATGATTCAAAGCTTAATCAGAAGGAAGATTGTGTCTGTGCAGAACATTTTCTGTTAAAGAGGCTTTTGCTGGACTTGGTAGCACATAACTTTAATGCCAGCACGTGGGAGACAGGCAGGTGGCCACTCGGCTGATTCTATAGAGAGTTGTGTGCCAGCCAGGGCTCCACAGTGAGACCCTGCATCAGCATGAGAAGAGAAGCAGTGTCTGTCTGGGAGCTCTAACTGTAGCGGCTCTCTGGGCTCTCCGGCTGACTCTAGCATTTCTAGTATTACCCCGACAGAGCTAAGTGAACAAGAAGGTACATGTCAATTTTAACACAATTATCAGGAGAAAAAAATCTTTTGACATTATTAGCGATTCTATTTTATTCTTCACAGACACATGAAGTATTAACGTAGAAAGGTAGAATAGCTGGGGGCGGAGGACGCAGGGAGGAGAGGTCCACGTGGAGATGGGAGGAAACAGAAGTCAGCCGAAACAAAATACATTCATTTAAAGTTTTGATAAAAAAATCAAAGTATATTTGTAAATGCCACGGGAACCTTTTACTTTGTCAGCAAATTAAAATTTTAAAAATACAAAGTATAAACTTGACTTTGCAGGAGAGGTTTTCCAGGGTGAGCTTTGTTCATTGCACTCCTGGTGTGCCGACCCTGCACGCTCCCCAAATGCAGGAAACTTGAGTGTACGATTTGTGGCAGTGGAGGAGGGGATTTAAACAGCAAAATCTAAATGTTAATTTTGGCTCCCATCATATCTGCTTTCATGTTTCTGTTCTGTTTGTATTAGTTGGTGCAGTAACAGTGATAAGCCCATTAGAGTTGATCAGAACTAAGATGCAGTCTAAAAGGTTTTCTTACAAGGAACTACATCGATTTGTGAGCATGAAGGTGTCTGAAGATGGCTGGATCTCCCTTTGGAAGGGCTGGGCTCCCACTATTCTCAGAGATGTGCCTTTCTCAGGTGGGGTTTGTCTTACTTGTCGCTGCTAGTTTTAGACCTTTGTCTTGGGTCATGTGTGAATTTTACTAGGTTTTAAACTCTTTATGGTTAAAAGTAAACTTTTTTCTGTGTTGGCCACAGATGTGTTGTTCATTGTTTGAGTGTGAGATTTGCACAAGCCTTTAATGATTGGCCAGTTTCTAATTCGGGTCCTTGTGTTTTCTCTTGTGTCTAATTGCTGCTAAGCATTTGTTGGTACATAGTCATACTTAGATAATTCAAACTACCTTAACACTATCCTAAATAAGTTATAAGGCAAATAAATAGAAGTGAAACTATTATAAAATATACTTAAGACCAACTTTAAGTTAACTGAACCCTTAATCCCTTAACTTTCAGTAATTAAAAATAAACATTTTAAAATCTCATGTCTGTAATAGCAACACTGAGATCCGGAGAGATGAGGATCTCCATGAGTTTGAGGCAAGGCTAGAAGACGACACAGTAAGACCCTGTCTCAAAAAAAAAAAAAAAAAAAAGCAAAAGCAAGAGTGAAGAGTTGGCCCGACAGTTAAGAGCACTTGCTATATTTGCTCTTCTTATGGAAGGCCTGGGTTTGGTTCCCAGCTCACAGATAGCAGCTCACAACCATCCTAACCAGTTCCTGATCTGACATCTGTTCTGATCTGGCACCAGGCGTTCCAGACACATGCAGGCAAAAACATATAAAATTAAAATTTTTTTTTCTCTTATAAAGGAAAGCATGTATTGGAGCTGGCTTACAGTTTCAGAGGTTTAGTCCATTATCATCATGCAGGGACACGGTATCCTGTAGGCAGACATCTTGATCCGCAGCCAGTCTCTGAGCTACTTCACCACGCCTTGCTGGTTCTTTTTAAAATTGTATATTTATAATAAATGTACCTTATAAGGCTTTGTGGGTAGTATAGTTGCAATTGAAATTTTCCTATTAGTTGATATTTAACTGCCTTTTAGAAAAATGAATAAATGCTATTTTTTTCTAAATATCTTTTGAGCTTTTTTGTAGATAATGTACATTAGGACTTTATTTTTCTTAACTTTTTCTTTTTATATATTAGTAGGCACTGTTGCTACAAATTTTTGCTGCATCTCTTTTATCAGTCTGAAGAAACAACTTTTTATCTCTATATTTTCAAGAAATTTAAGTTTGCTTTAAATGGAAGGGTTAATTTTATTAAATGTTCACCATCATAAGTAGGCTCTCCCATGGCTTTATTAATGCAGTATGTGACATGAATTATACTAACTACCCTTATTTATGGAATACCTCCATCTAGCCACTGTGTGTGGCCTTTTATGTATGTTCAATGCGCTTTGTCTCGCTGTACATTCCTGCACTGTGCTGTAGATCGCTGTACGCCGTACCTGCCCTTTCTCCTGCTCGCATTCCTGTGCTGTGCTCTGGCTGTGCTCTGGCTGTGCGCTGGCTGTGCTCTGTGTGCTCTGGCTGTGCTCTGTGTGCTCTGGCTGTGCTCTGG